TTGGTTAAGTAACTTAAGAAGTGAGGTCTGCAAGGTTTTCTGCAGGTGGGAAAGAAAGGCCCCATTGTTCCCTGAATGCACGTAGCCCAGTGTCGAGTAAAATAACCTGGCAGAGTTTCTTCTCTTTACCAGCATAAAAACAGAGATAAGAGTCTCCCTTCTGCATCTCAGCTTACCCTTTCATCTCTGTTTGAGGGATTGTTGTGTTGTTTTGAGGCTAAAACTGCTGTTACACACTGAAGCAGCTCATTTCCTGCTCTAATTTCTGTACATCAAATTTTTAAGAAAAGAGGGGCACTTTCTTCAGCACACAAGTGTGTGTTTGGCTGAGGTGCTGATGCTGAGTGTGGCATAGGCAGCTCTCTGTTGGTACTTGAAGCAATCCATGTGCGCAGGGCTGCTTCCATCTGCTCATCACAAGCCACCTCTCTTCTGTCACAAAGCGAATACTTGGGGTTCTGTCATTTGTTTACCAGAAGTAATTGTGGAAAATTCTCTTGAAATGTTTTTCTTGCTGATCTTGACACTGGCGTAGATTGAAGCCAGCAAGGGTCATGGAGTCCCAAAGGGAGAGCTGGCCAACACGGGGCGGTCGCTGTGCGTGGCGTCCTGTCCTGAGGGTGAGTGAAGATGCTGTGGTAGTTGATGGCCATGAAAGGATGTGTCATGTGCAGATGGTCAGCATGACCACTTGAAGGCAGCCAGCCACTGTCAAACTGAGTGGTTCACATGCATGGTGTGTAAGAAAGTGAAAGTAATCAGTAATCTATTGAAAGCCAGGGAAAGTAACCAGTAGCATGTAGTGTACTCTTTAGACTCGCCAATCAAAATGAAATCCCCAATTTCAAAAGCCCAGAGGCTGTCTGGAAGTGTGTTCCTGATCTTGTTGCTGCTGTGCCCACAATAAAATCCGGCATCCCCACAACTTGTGGATGCCCATGGGAAAGGGTGGACACATCCAACCACCTCTGCTGGCCCCGCTTAGGAAGGAAGGAGCAGATGAGCAGCTGCAGGTATTTTAATGCCACTCTATCACAGTGATAGTGAACCGACATGGTCCTAACCACTGAGGTTGGCCAGAGCGAGATCTGCCATGGCTGTATGCTGAGGGGAACCAAAGCAGAGCCCTGCCAAGTGTATTTGACACAGACAAGGCTGTTGGCCCAGCAGATGCTTGAGCTCTGTCAGCACTGGGGAGGGCTGTCCGTGTGAGCCGGCGCTGCCTGCTGCATTACTGGGATGCCATCCTTGGAGAGCTGATGACAGCCTGACCTGAAGGGCTTAGGCTGAAGTTATGGTTCTCATGGGGTGACTTTGTGTCCCTACCTGGCTGGGAAGTCTGACTTTGTGTGGAGGAATCCGCTGCAATCCGCAGCCGCGCTCACTCAGCGCATCGCATGCAGAGGAGGTGCGTTTGCTGTTTGATCAGGAAGTTGGATGTTTCAGAACATAGCCGCAGGAAGGACAAATGTGTTGCCATTATGGGCGGCCTATTTCTCCTCCGGCCACAGGGTGGTGCTTTTGCCCTCCCTATAGCCCGTCGAGCAGTAAAAATAGCTCGGAAACTGTCGAAGAAAGTCCTTAATTTTAGAAGAATCACAGGGGATCAGAGCAGTTGTTCCTCTCCACTTACAGAAGCTCTTCCCGCACCGAGGCAGAGCTGGGAGTGAACGCACCCGTCCCCGGACTGCTCTGTACAAAGCTGTTACTCTCCTCTCCTCTCCTCTCCTCTCCTCTCCTCTCCTCTCCGAAGAATTATTCCCATCCCACAGAGCTCTGTCAATGTGAAATGAGCGGATGGCCCCCAGGACAGATTTTTAAAAATGCTTGGGCAGCATTTGGATACATGGGATCTGCTGCAAGGAACTGTCAGCAGGGCACAGAGACAACCCTGGAAACCCTGTTGGAGGGATCCCAAGGAGCAGCAGGTCATGCCAATGGGACGGAGGGTTGCTCAGCAGGAGGAGAGTGGCAGCAATGGGGCTCTGCATCAGATACCTTCAGATGCCCTCAGCCCTTGGGCAGCATCCTGTGTGGGCAGCTTTCTGTGAGACCTGAAAGCGACTGGATCTATCAACGGAGCTGTGAGTTGAAGACACTCCACTCCACGCTGCCAGGTGTGTTGTTCTTCCCAGATGTTGAATGGCAGCACTCAGCCCCTCTGCGCGATGTCCTGGCCCACAAACACACATCTGCTGATGGGAGCCCGTTGGGGCAGCACCAGGGGTGAAAGTGAGCATCCCAAGGGTGGCATTGAGGCTTTTGCTGAGTACTTGCATTTCAGCTCTGTTTTTAAACTAACAGGAAAGGAGAGGCAGGCTAAGAACATATGGCTTCGTGATATCTTTGGAGATGGTCATTTGTTCTATTTTCCACCTGAATAAATTTAAAGGCACAGCTGAAATTAAAATGTCAAATCTCCATTTGAAATGTAATCTACTGTCATATGGATGCTATCGAATCTGTTAATAATTAGAACCTGGCACCTCAGTTTAAGTGCAGCCACTAATTCAAAGTCGTGGTATTTAACTTACTTCCCAGCAACGCCGGAAACAAAGACACTGAATTGTTGACACCGGATCTATTATATTCATTTAAGAGATTTGTTTACCTTTTCCTTAATTAAAGTAAATGAGATTTAGGCACCTAGCTTACTCCTGTGCCTTTGGAAATATTTTCCTTCAAACAGTTATCTGCATCATAGAGGCTGCTGACACTGTGCTGGATTTTGAACTGGAAAGGAATGGAAGCAGTTGGGAGCCCTTTGCCTTCTTCCCCCCCCCCTCCCCGGCTCCTGCCCTCAGGAGGGGCTGCTCTGGGCACAGCTCAGCTCGTGGCACTGCCTCCTTCCAGGAGTACCAGAGGAGCATTTTAGGAAGCAGCCCCACCAGTAAGGTGCCCAGCAATGGGCAGCACAGATGTGAGAGATCTGTGAGCAGTTTCAACCACACAGGTGGGAGGCACACAGCAAAATGAAGCCCCATTATTCTGCAAAAGCCCATCCAAATCATCAAGTGTACAGTTTGCAGTAAATCCTAGCCCTGCTCAGAGCCTGGGATCAGCGATTATACAATCTCTGTGCTTTTTAAAGGAGCCGATGTGAGTCGGGCACTCCAAGTAAAGCCATGAGATGTACAATCCTTATCCCAGGGATACAGCTCTCCGTGGTGAGCTGGGGAAGGCAGGGCTCCTCGCAGGCACGGCTATGGGCATGAGCTGCAGGGAGCAGCATGAAGCACTGAATTTCTCGCAGCGCATCAGACGGAACGTGGGAGGGGAGAGTGGGAGTGTGTGCACTGAGTCACCGAACAGAGTTTCATGTGTTTGGGTATTTTTTTAATTATCCATGCTGGCAACTTCCAGGAAATCTCCCACCTTTGTACGACTCACAGTGCTGTTGGTAGCAGAGCAGTGCTGGCGTCAATGGGAGGTGAGGGCTCTCAGCAGAGCGCTGTTACAGTGGGGATGTGGCAGCCCACCCTCATGGCCCTGAGGGCTGATGCAGCTATGCTGGCATGGCTGGGAATCATCATAGAATGGCCTGGGTTGCAAAGGAGCACAGTGCTCATCCAGTTCCAACCCCCTGCTGTGTGCAGGTCACCAACCAGCAGCCCAGGCTGCCCAGAGCCACATCCAGCCTGGCCTTGAATGCCTGCAGGGATGGGGCATCCACAGCCTCCTTGGGCAGCCTGTGCCAGTGCCTCACCACCCTCTAGGGAAAAGTAGAGTTACCCTCACTGCCCCGTGCTTCTGCTTTCCTAAAACTTACCGTAAGAACTGCGAAACACAAATGTCTAATTTACTAATCACAGACATATTTTTCTATAAAGGCTGCTGCATTTAATGACAGCCTGCATTCACAGGTGGTTCTATGCTGCAATCACACACAGGACGTGAAATGAAGATTCTGGTTTCCATGCAGTAGAAGCATGGATGTTGGCACTGTTCTGTGCCTGAGAGAAAGCACTGCACATTATTGCCATCCCAGCTACAGGTGGGAAATCCCTGGTAAGGTCCTCAATTACAGTGTGATGGAGCTAACGAGGGGGCCCGTTCAGCACAGCTGCCTTTGAGGTGGCAGAAGCATTCAGAATCACAGAACCACTGAAGTTGGAAAAGCCTTAGGATCCCTAAGCCCAACTCCATCCTCAGTGCCACATTCCCATGGCTCTGGGAAACCCTTCAGGACAGTGACTCTCCTCCTGGAGGTTGAACGGTTGGACTGTACGATCTTAGTTATCTTTTCCAACCTTAATGATTCCATGGTTCTATGAAATATTGGAGCTACGTTGCCTCTCAGTGAGGGCTCACTAAGGCACATGTGATTCATTTCAGAAATAGGAACGAGGATCCTACCTGGACCTTGGAGGCTGGGCTGCTGGCACAGAGAGGAGCACAGATGGTGGTGGCTGCAAACTCACCTTGGGCAGGCATTTGGGATGCCTGCAGCACAGCCTGGCTGGGAGAGGTGCACCAACATGTGAAACTGCAGGTGTTAGATCAGTATCATCATATAGTCTTTAAAGAAGTGCTTGGAGTGATCTTACCCAAACATTAGGTGTTGTGCCGTGCTCACGGCCTGTTTCAGAGGTCCCAGCTGGTCAGGCAGAGCAGAAGAGCTGGTTGTGCCCAGGTGTGCATGGCTGCTCCCAACCTTTGTTCCTGATTTCTTGGGCTGAGCTCCTTTTGAGACACACATGCTCAAGTGTTGCAGTGACCACAGGGCTGGAGCCACTGCCAGCAATGTGCCAGGGCACAGCAGCACCATGCACTGCCATCCCAGCAGCCTGCACAGAGGACTCCAGGCCTGGAACACAGTGCTGGCCTGGGCTTCAGCACACATGGTGAGGAGATGCACTGTTATGAGTCATTTGGAAATGTCATAAAAATAGGTTCTGCTTCTGTGTAAAGCAAATTGCAGGTACTAATTAGCACAGGTGCTTGTTGCAGCAAGACAATGAGAACACAGCCTGCAATACAGCCCCACAGACATGGGCCATGTAGCCAGGAAGCCCGGGGCAGCCGGAGGGTCCTCAGGTACAGACAGATGCTTTTTGAGGTGCACACGCAGCTGAGCAGGCATTCATTTTTATTTCTATTCCAAAGGCATTAAATTAATTTTAGAAACGGCACTATAACTATTTTCCTGCCTCAAGGACCATTTGTTTTAAAATCATTAAAGATTTTTATATGACACCACACTGACATTTGGTGTGAATAAATTAAGGGAATTGGTATCAAATCTCATCCTTTTTCCACAGACCGCCAGCACACACATGTGCACATAGGGTGTTCTGCAAGGCCTTCTTGTGTGAATGCCTGTGTAGCAGCACAGCACGAGTGCAGATCATGGCACCAGGCACCACACAGCTCTGCTCCTTGATGGGAGAGCATCTTCGGTCCTTCCCAGAGAGTGCAGTGCCAGCAGAGAGCTTTGTCTGAAGGCAGCCAGGCACTGGAGCCCTGCCTCAGGTCACCAACTGCAGTCCATGTGTGCTGCTGCCATGGAAAAACCTGTCAGTGGTGAGGAGTAGCAAGAGCTGTCCCTCAGTCAGGTACCCTGCTGATTACAGGGTTGGCCTAATCATCTTCATTGGGAGCCAGTCCTGCAGTGATCAGAAGGGCAAATATAAGTTTGGTAGGACGAGAGGTGATGGCTTTATGTTGCACCAGGGGAGGGTCAGGGGGGGTATGAGGAATAATTCCTTCTTAAAGAGCAGCCAGGCAGTGGTTGGTACAGCTCTCCAAGGAGCAGGGGGGTCATCATCCCTAGGGGTGACCCAGAGCTGTGGGGATGTGAGCAGTGAGCTGGGCGTGGGGATCCCAGAGGCTTTTCTGCAACTTTATAGTTCTATGACTCTATGATTTCTAAGTTCAATGATTTAAACTTGATTTGTTTGCTCTTACTCACTTTTCTCTAGCTGGCAGCAGAGAACTGGTTTGGCTCTCTGTCTGCAGGAGGCACACTGTGCTGAGCAGCATCAAGATGGTGGTGGCTCTTTTCAGGGGCTCTGAGCAGCCATCTTTGCTCCCTGCAATATCCTTGTGTGATGCAATGGAGAGCACCTCAATGACAGCAGAGCAGCAAAGTCCCAGGCTGTATCAAGGGAGGATTTGCTCAAATATAACAGCTGTGTGTATAGAAATATAGGAAAAAAAAGCTGCTTACCTTCATAAGACCTCAGGTATACAGAAATCTCCAACAAGACACCCTCACCTCCACTGCCAACCTTTAAATGAGATCTGGGAAGGGGTGGATCCTGGCTCCAGCCCTTCCTGACACACAGGTACATTGCATGCACCTGAGCTCCTCTGGGTTGGCCCTGCCTTCCCACCAGGTGCTCAATCACTAATTCAGGTCGCGACACAGCATTTCTACTGCAACCTGGTTACTCAATGTCTTTTCACATCTGCTGCTAGGAGGTTGGGGTGCAGCTCCCAGGTGCAGGCTGGGTGGGAGCCAGGGGCTCTCTGACTGCTCTGCCAGGCTTTTGGTGGGTGCCACAGTGTTTTGTCAAAGCAATCTCCTACAGACTAGGGTTAGATCAAGTGGATTAGTTTAAATAGAGCGTTTATCCTTTCTAAATGTCAGGCTTTCCCAGGTGTAGGAGCTGTCTGGGCTGTGCTGGTAGGGTCCCACACCAACTGCTCTCACCAGCACCCCCAGGGGTGGGTTGGGCAGCCCCAGGCTCCCTGCCCTGCTCACTGGACACTGTGAGCAGCTGCACACACAGGTATCATCAGCTGAGCACAAACCAACACGCAGCAGGCAGGTGTGCTGCCAAACTTCACAGGCAAAAGCTTTAAAGCATCAGGAGCTTCAAACATTGGATGTAATGAAGTATTTGGTGCAAAATATTTGGTGCAGGAGGTACTTGCAACGTGTTGCTTGTGTCAATGCTGGTGGAAAGAGGTGTGCTCTGTTCCATCTGGGGAAAACAGGACTGCAGCACAGTGCAAGGGCCTGGGGAAGAAAGCACCCAGCAGGACAACAAGGGTAGCACTAAAAAGACATCTCTGTAGGTGAGTGGAGAGCAGGGCTCAGAGGCAGGGCATGGCGTGCAGGTATGGGGTGGGTGCAGGTACAGGTGTATGGGTGCAGGGTGCAGCTGTGCATACCCCTGCACAGAGCTGCCTCCCCACAGGTACCATGGCAGCAGCTCCCATGGTGTCGGTGAGCCAGCTGTGTGCCCAGCTGTGTCACCTGGCTGTATGACCTGATATGTGACCCGGTGAGGGCCGTCAGCTCCTCCGCCACCACCTGATACTTGTACAGCAAAGTGCTGTTAATAGCAATATAAATGCTTGGGTTGTCAGTCACTGCTCTTTCTTTGTAAATGTTACTCGTTTCATAAATAAATCAAAACCTGCAGACCCCAGGTTTTCAGAAACTTGAATGCTTTTGTTAAAATTGTATGAAGCAAATTCACAAACACATGATTTATATTATCTCGGCACGGCACGGGAGATGATAGAATATACTATTTAAATTAACTTCTCTCCCAACAAATGAAATCAATTCTGTTCTTCGGTTACTTTTCATCTGCCTTTTGTCTTGTTGCCGAATCTTTTCTATTTCTTTCACTCATTCATCTATTGTGCCCTTTCCTTGATCTGATAGCATTAAACATATAATTAAGTCATAAAGGAGGGAACTGATGAGTATAGCAGATGGTAATTGCTTCCTACATTTGAATGAAATGATATGCATTGCTACAATTTACAGCTCTCGCCTCATATTTTATTCAGGAACCTTTTATCTCTTTTCCTGCAGAATTATTCTGCAATAAATTTAGACATCTTATCAATAGCTTGTATGATAGCGGCAGAAACGGGGAAAAACCGAACTTTGTGCATCTTAATGCTTAAAATAATTTTTCACAATAATTGAATTATCTACTGGTAAATATCATATATGGAACCTGGCCGACTTTGCTGGGTTTCTTCTCAAAGCTAACTCTGTAATTACAGCACTTCTCTAATGATCACTCATGGAGCCCGGAGATGCTGGGAGTCGGCAGTGCCCCCATCTCCTGCGGGTCCATCCAGCAGGGCTCCTGGGCTCTGAAGGTCCCAGGTGGGAAGGAAGGGCTGAGCTGAGCTGAGCAGAGCAGAGCTGAGTGGAGCATGCAGAGCAGAGCAAAGCAGAGCATGCAAGAGCAGCTGCCCCGCTTGCAGTTTGAGTGCCATGCACTGCGTGCACTGCAGAATTTTCCTTGCTTAGTTTGAGAGAAAAAGCCTGAAGGCATTTTGCCTGCAAAGCCTGAGTCTGGGGCTGCTGACAGCCCTGAGGGACGCAGTGCTGGGAGAGAAGGGGGTTGTCAGCAGCAGGGGAAGCAGCAGTCACCTGGATAAAAGTTCAGGGGAAGGGATGTTTGGGGGAAGAAGGTCCATGTTTTTTAGCAATTTTTTAAAAAGAGTCATGAGAGAAAAGGCACAGGAACACAAGCAAATCCCTTTCTTTTACCTGGAAGAAAATGAGGCATGTGGAAAGTTAACTTCTGCTTTAAGTCTCTGCCCAGGGCACGGGCCCTTAGGACTGTGCAGACCAAGCACCTTTTGTGGCAGCTGGCCTGCAGACACTTCCCAGCATGAATGAATGGAACCCAGTAAAGCAATGAATGGAGGTGAGGATGCCACCACAAGCTCTGTGCTCCCCATGCTTTAGCAGGCATTGACAGCTCCCCCAAACACAGCCAACTTCCATCTGCAGCAAAGGCTCTGCACCTCTGCCATGTAGGGATGAGCAGCAGGGCTCCAGAGTGGGCTGGGATGGTGCTGGGCTGGGATGGGCTGGTGCTGGGGCAGCACTGGGCTGGGCTGGGATGGCACCAGGCTGCAGGGATTGCCCCTCCCTCGGTCAGCCAGGTGCCATGGTCAAAGCAGAATTGTATCTACATGACAGTCTGGCTGTGAGACAGCACAGGTGGGACAGCCCCCCATGGGGCCAAACATGGATGGCCAAGGCACGCTCCCAGCCAGCGGTGTGAAGGGATTGCTCCCTCCGCAGGGACATTCCTGGCAGAAATGGATGCTGCCATATATGACCGTGTTCTTTTTTTTTCACAGAAGATTGTTGTAATAGCATGAAATGCAACAATATTGGCAAGAAACTGGTCTTTATGTCATTTCCCCGGTCATCTCTTTTATTAGGTTAAAAGTGCGATTGATAAAAGTAACTTCATTGAGAGCACATCCCAGCGGAATCTCAGCAGAGGTCACTGCCTCCATTAGCCTGGCTTGTGCACTTGCAAGAGACAGGGCTTTGGGCACACAGCTGCTGCTGAGCTCTGAAACAGCACCAAGCTTTGGGTTAAATACTGCCCCAAAACGTGTCCAGCACCAAGGTTGGCACCTGGGAAGTGGGAGCTAGGGAAAGGGCGAGGGGAGGCAATGGGATGCACCAGGTAATGTGGGAATGGGTTGGCTGGGGTGAGGTGTGCAGAGGCACAGTGCTCTGCCATGCATCCTCACCCCGTGAGAGCTGGCTCCAGTACTTCTCAGTGTGCACATTATTAGTACCTAAGCAGATGCTGAAAGTACCCGAAGTATTTCAGTTATTTCCTTAATATGCAATTTCTGCCGTATTTAGCCAAAATTAGACATTTGCAACAACTTCCATTTGAGGCTTTTGTTGCTCCAGGTGAAGCCTGGGGACTGCTTTATTCACAATGTATTTATTTGCCGTTGTTGTGAGGGATTGCATTGCCAAGTTTGCATGTCCTGAGTGAATGTGACAGCCGTACCCTGACCGTGCCTCTTGTGAACAGCTTTAACTTCTCTTTGCTTTCCTGCTGCGTGGTGAGACAAGAAAGAGTTGTCAGTAATAATTTCCTGAGTGATTTTTAAAAACCCGTGACTCCCTCCCTTATTAGTTTTAATAAAGAGTCACTGCTCCCTAAGCTTGCTTGGAAAATTATTACCTATCAGCAAGACAGAGGACAAACATATGAGCTATTGACAGCAGCAGAGAGTGAACCCCTCATGGTGACTATTAAGGGACAAGCGTTACCTTTTTTTCACTGTGTACCTGAAATTAAGCTCTTTTTGAAGACTGGTGCTCCTCTGAGCAGCTGGGAGTTCCCTTCACACAACCTCTGAACATCTCTGAAGGCAACTGATGCAAAAGGTGTGACAGGCAGCAAGGATGGAGCAGCCCCCTCCACCTTGTGTGTGTGTGTTCCCATGCACGTACACATACGTGTACTCACAGCCGTACACACATGTGCACATGCACTGCCCACCCCAGAGTGTCCTCCCACAGAGAGACCCATGAGATGTCAGCTTGCCCTTGGGGCACTGAGGGCTTCCCTGCAGGAATATTGGCCACTACTGGGGCTGGAGTCCATGGAACCTTGGAACAAACCAGGCTTATATGGCACAACGTTTCCTTGCCAGAAATCATAGAATCCCAGAATCACAGCACCACAAACCAGTGCTGCTGGAAGGGACCTCAGAAGATCGCTGTCTCCGACCTCCTGTGGAAGAAGAGACTCAGTGGGGTTAAACAGTGCCCAGCCCTACCATGACTTGAAGACTTCCAGGGATGGGAACACACCACATCCCTTAACTTACCAAGAGGAAACTTCTCCCAGTGCAGCTTGTACCTGCAGCTCTTCGTCGTCTCCTTGAGAAGAGAGAGCCTCCATCCCCTCTCCAGCCTCTCTTTTTGTGGAAGGATCAATTAGCCATAAAAGATCACGGAATAATCACAGGATGGTTGTGTTGGAAGAAGCCTTAAAGATCACAGAAGCAGGGACTGGCTGTGTTGGAATGGTCCTTAATGATTGTAGAACCACGAAATGGTTGAGTTGGAAGAGACCCCTCAGCCTCAGCCCTGCCGCGGGCTGGCTGCCCCCAGCTCAGGCTGCCCAGGGCCCATCCACAGCCTGAAGCACCTCAGCTCTGGGCAGTGCCAGGTGTATGAGCTTCCCCTCCTTCCCAGTCTTCCCCTGGGGTGTGAAGACAAGGAGCACCACACAGTGACATTACAACCCATGGAAGTGCAGCGTGTGCTCCGTGCCAGCTGTCTGCAGGTGCACACAATGTTCTCTGTGGTTACCCCAGTGCTTTGCTCTGTGTTGGACTGGGAGCCCCACAGCACCTCATCTTGCACACCCAGCCATTACCATGCAGCTGGAGTTTAACACGACACAAACACGATCTTCAGCTCTTTACTAAATTTAATTTTTCCT